GTACGGCCGAAGGCGGAGTGTACGGTACGTAGCGAGGGGGGCGGTGGTTTCCGGGGTAGGAGTGGGGTACGGGGGGGGCGGTTCGTGAGTCTGTGGCGGTGGTACGGGCTCTGACTTTCTTCTTCCTTCGCCGCCGCGAGCAGAGGTGGCGGTGCTGCCCCTTTCCTCCGCTCCCCCCCCTCCACGAGGAGGCTCCTGGTGTGCGCGGCCGGCCCGGCTCGCTCCTCCCCTTCCCTCTCCGCTCCTCGTCAGGAGGAGGGAGGGCGACGGGACTTGCTGGTTGGACCCTAACCTCCACAACCCCTCCTTCTCGCCTCGCTCTTTCGGCCTTTCCCCCTCGGCCCTGACGTGAGGCCGGGGGCGCGCACGCACGTCGCGCTCTGAGGAAGCCGAAGGTGAGTGGTGTCACGGGCAAGGGAGGCGGGAACAAAGTTGCCGCGCACCGGCGTGCTCGCTCCCGCCAAGCTACAGGAGTTTGAAACGGAAATGACGTATCGAAGAACCCGCTCCACTTCCGGTGAGGGTGGGACTATGTGTGAAGAAGGGTTAAAGAAAGGAGAAGATCAGTGCGCCGCCCACTGCTGTCGCTGGAGTCTCTCAGTGCTGGCACACCGGTCTTGCCTGTTGCTTACGTTCAGCGCGCAGTACCGGTTCCGGATCCCCGCCGGCGCCACACCGCCTGCCTGTTGAAAGGTCACGGCGAGAGCAAGAGTCTGGAGTCCTAGGTGCTCAGGAATAATGCCGTTAACAGCCTTCTGGGTGGGTAGTCACCCCATCGTTTACCCTCAGCCAAGCCCGGGGGTTGGAACAGCTGCGAGAGGGGAAGAGAGGGCACTCTACAAAAGAGGTAGGGGGTGGCGTTAGCTTAAACTACCTCAAATACACCCAAGTTCCAAGCCCCATCTTAACCTAATTAGAAACTTGGAAGTCACAGCCTCAAGCTTCCATAGCCTTGAAGTTTAAAAAAACGTATGTTGAGAATAATGAAACGTCAAAAGGGACGTTTTCTGTAGAAAGTCCCAGAATTATTACCAGCCGCTTTGAAGTCAAAATATCTTACTCAAATGAGAGTTGCTTTCTTGGCACTTCACCCGCTTTCACCTTATTATCTAAACCTGTGCAGCTGCAAAATGTAACCATTCATTCGGTGACCTCAAGTCTCACTTCTTGCATTGCCAGGTTTGCAGTTACAGACTGGGTACTTAGGACAATTTAAAACATTTAAATGGCTAATTGACTTTTATTATGGTTGAAAAGAAAAGCTGAGCCGTGCATTCAGTGGCTACAAGTTTTTGAGTATATTTGTTCAGTCCACCAGTTGGTTCTTAAACACTTGGTGTCCATCCATCATTCATGCCTCAGTGTAAATAATTTTAATTGACCTGACATCCACTAACACTGTGTCTCAGTCTGGACTGATCTACGCTAAGTATCAGACTTCACTGAAATAATGAATACAAAAGGTGTTTGCTGAAGGATAAAGGAGGAGGCAAAGGAATAGGTAATCTTGAAATCAGCTCATTTCCCAGGAGGACAAGCCGGGGTGGGCCACACAGTGGCACTTACCATGCAGCCAAAAGGAAGTGGTAAAGGCATTGGGAAACTAAATAGAAAAGTAAGGGAAAGGGTGTCTAAAACACATTTCTCCGAGGTAGTATTGCTGAATGAAGGTCCTATAGCCTAAACCAGCTAGCAGGTAGCTTTTTCCAAAAAATAGGATCAACCTGCCCCATCATCCTACTTTCAAAAGCCTGGAATAACAGAACAAACTGAGTAAAATAAGAGGTTTATCTAGCAGTTCCTCACATCTATAGCCAATTCCTCCCAAGAATGTCATCTTCTATCCTACGCTTGCAGAGAAAACTCATTCCCTAGTAAATGGATAGCTTCCAGTCCAGGTTGCAAACAACATATGGACTAAAATATTTTTAGTGGGTTCTGCCACCCACATGTTTCTGCAGAGATTCTATCTTGATGAGGGGTAATAGGAAGAAGAGGAAGAAGTGAAGCATTTTGAGTTCCCCAAAGATACCTGCCCACATACATGGAAGTGCTAATAATTAACAGGGTTCAAACTCCAAAAAAATGGAAAAGACCTTTTAATTAGAGGTAATCTGTTTCTATAAGTTTGTCTACTTGTCCTCATGCAAATAGACTTGAAATTGCCACTTGGGACTATATTTTAGTATTTTACTGTTTGTTATGACATATTGTCTACAGGTTGAAAAGAAAAGGATTTAAGTCTTTTGTTTTCTTTGTTTAACAAGTCATATCATATATATCAACTGTTCTTAAGGTGTGGCCTGAGACTAAAACTTTTTCAATGGTTCATTCAATCAAAGCTATAATAAGACGTGATTTTTCCTTTATCATTCTCTTTTTTTAATGAACGTACTGTGGAGTTTTCCAGAGGCAACATGACATTTGATGATATCATCATTCTAATGGCTAATGGAATGTGTGCTCTTGTGTTCAGATGTTTTCTAGAATGTTTTAAGGTGTTAGGGTTCTGAAATGTGTAAACATATGGAATATCTGCCTAGCTCAGGGAACCAATATTTTCCAAATACCATTAATGGATGATGTCACAAAATCATGAGCAAAAGATTCATTAAAAGTACAAGACAGACCGATGTGTTTTAATGTAATACTACAAAAAGTTCATTGATATGATTTCAGATGCCTCTTTACAACTAACCTTTAAGAAACTTCTCTGGAGCTTTGGTGTAGTATGAAAGAGTAACCATATTTATCTGAAAAAGCTATTCAAATACTCCCTCACTTTTCCAACAACATACCTTGTTCTCACATTGCCAACAAAATAACATATTCCAACAAACAGTATAAAAAGGCAGCTATGAGAATCAATTTCAGCCCCGTTAAACTTGTCAATAAAGAGAGATACAGAAAAGTGAAACAATAATCCTCTTTTTTTGTAAAGATAGTTTCATTCATTTAAATGTTAGTTGTGCTGCTTTATGATGGGGTTATTGTTTTAAATGAATATATTTAAATTTTCTCCACTTTTATTTCTAATATCAATAGATATAACTCAAATAAACTAAAGTTCTTTGTGGTCCTGTTTTTTAAACAGTGTAAAGAGATCCTCAGACCAAAACCCTTGAGTAACGCTGTACAAAATCGTTAAAATTCCAGTGCTACTCTTCATGCTTCTGATGGTACAGACAGTTCATAGATAGGTCATGCGCTATCATTCCAGAATCCTCCTTCTAACTAGAAATTTCTGCAGTGTGTTTCAAAGTTACTCCTCCTTTAGAGAGGTTGTTTGCTTGACTTTCAAGTAGATTTTTCTGTCTTAAAAAAATTTAAGCTCTCCTTATTTCAGCCCACTATTCTTCCTCCTCATAATGAAGACTATCAAGCATATTATTGTTAAAAGAGAGAACAGCAAAGCCAAAGCAATGGAACTTTTCAATTTAATAATAAAAACAAGTAGTGGCTAGTATTTACTGAGCATTTACTGTGTAACCAGCTCCGTGCCAAGTGATTCATATTTATTTCCTCATTTAATCCTCTCAACATTGCCTAAAAGTAGGGTGACCATAGTCCTGCATTTGGCTGGGATGGTTCTCATTTATACCACTTCTTCAAGCATAATTATTAACAATATTCCCTTTCCAACACATTAGTTTCCCAGTTGGGAGACTAAAATTATCTGATCGCCCTTCCTGTAAAAATTATTATCCACAGTTTACAAATCCAAAAACTGAGGCATAGAGAGATTGAGTGTCTTGCTGAAAGTACACTGATACTGAATGTGGATCTGAGATTCCTCACCCAGGTCTGTCTAACTTTGGTTGGTTTGTTTGGTTTTCATTTTTCAGTTTTATTAGGTAGAATTGTTATAATTTGACTGCGCATATACAATATATTGCATGTAAATATGTACAATATACAGCATTTTTTTTAGTTTACATATATGTACTGATCATTGTTTCTTAGAACAATTTAAGAGCTTTAGCTTTTTAAACTTACATAGTTATCAAAGGAATAAAGCCAACCACAAAATAAAAATCAACAGAATGTGGTAATCCAATCATAAAGGACCATCAAATGTGCTTACACATAATCTAAGTTATAAATAGTAAGTAGTATATTTGTGTCCTTTTTTTTTAGATTCCACATGTAAGTGATATCATATGGCATTTTTCTTTCTCTTTCCAGCCTACTTCACTTAGAATGATGCTCTCCAGGTCCATCCATGTTGCTACAAATCGCATTATTTTATTCTTTTTTACAGCTGAGTAGTACTCCATTGCATATATATACCATAGCTTCTTTATCCAGTCATCTGTTGATGGACATTTGGGTTGTTTCCATGTCTTGGCTATTGTAAATAGTGCTACTGTTAACATTGGGGTGTATGTGTCTTTCTGAATTATATTTTTCTCTGGGTATATGCCCAAGAGTGAGACTGCTGGATCACATGATAAGTCAATTTTTAGTTTTTTAAGGAATCTCCATACTGTCCTCCATAGTGGCTGCACCAATCTACATTCCCACTAACAGTATAGAAGGGTTCCCTTTTCTCCACACCCTCTCCAGTATGTATTATTTGTAGACTTTTTAATGATGGCCATTCTGGCTGGTACAAGGTGATGTCTCATTGTAGTTTTGATATGTATTTCTCTGACCATTAGTGACGCTGAGCATTTTTTCATGTGCCTATTGGCAATGAGAATTGCTTGTTTAGGTTTTCTGGCAATTTTTGGATTTGGTTGGTTGGTTTTTTGATAATTAAAGTGTATGAGCTGTTTGTATATTTTGGAAATTAGTCCCTCATCAGCTGCATCATTTGCAAATATTTTCTCCCATTCTGTAGGTTGTCTTTTCATTTTTTAAGTGATATCCTTAGCTGTGCCAAAGCTTTTAAGTTTAAATAGATCCAATTTGTTTATTTTTGCTTTTATTTTCATTACTCCAGGAGCTGGTTCAAAAAATATATTGCTGTGA